CCCACGTTTCCATTTCTGGAACCGTCACTTTTATGGATCTGTAAGGTTGTCCTATAGAAGATTGGACGTACAATGGCCTGCAGATCGCTCATCTCCTTCCAGAGATGCCTTGTTTGGTCTTCTCTTCAAAATACAGAAGCAGGTCATAGGTGCTTCATCATTGGGAGATGTTCAAGAAGAGACGGGACACACTTGTCTGGAATGGTGTAGGTCGTGATGGTTAACCTTTTTGCCGTCGCGTGCCAAAAGTGGGGGGAGCACATGGTCACACGCATGCGGGCCTACACCCATAATTCAATGCGCCTCACCTCCCCCATGCTTTCCCCGCTTATGGCACGTGATGGCACGGTGGGCACGGTAGGCCCATTTTTCACCCTCCCCAGGCTCCAGAGGCTTGGGGAGGGCGAAAACAGCCTTCCCTACCCCCCCCAGGACCTCTGGAGGCTGGAAACAGCCCATTTCCTGACTTCTGGTAGGACCAGAAGGCCTGTTTTTTGCCTTCCCCAGGCTCCAGAGCCTTTCTAGGAGCCTGGGGAGGGCGAAAAACAGCCTTCCCCACTGCCCCCCCCCCCCCGGAGGCCAGAAACAGCCCATTTCCTGATTTCTGGTAGGACCGGAAGGCCTGTTTTTTTTGCCCTCCCCAGGCTCCAGAGCCTTTCTAGGAGCCTGGGGAGGGCGAAAACAGCTTTCCCCACCGCCCCCTGGAGGCCAGAAAAGACCTGTTTCCTGACTTCCGGTGGGCCCAGAAGGCCCGAAAATCAGCTGGCCAGCACGAACATGTCTGCTGGAGCTGACATAGGGCAATGCTTGCGTGCCCACAGATATGGCTCCACGTGCCACCTGTAGCACGCGTGCCATAGGTTCCCCGTCATGGGTATGCTTGAGCAAGAGGTTGGATTAGAAGACCTCCAAGGTCCCTTCTAACTCTGTAATTCTGTCTGATCTTTCTCCATTTGAGCATCCACTTCATTGAACAGAGGTTTAGGGTGGTTTCTCTGGTGTCCGACGTTTTTGTGGAAATTCTGCACTTAAGACCTAGAGTAGAAATATTTCCCCACAAAGACTTCTACAGAAAATTTCTTGCTTTGGAAAGCCAAGATCCCCTTGAGAATTCTTTGGAGAACGGTAAGATCGAACTTCTGTAGATGGAGGAGCTACCCAAGTTCTAACGTTCCTGAGGAGCCATTCGATACTCAAATGTTCTTGGACTGAAACCACTGAAAAAGGCAGCCATGGGCAAGTCTACTTCCCATGACTTCCAATTCTACTCCTGAGCCCATTGGGAAGAAATTATTAACAGGTAACTTTCTTTTCAGACTTACAAAGGGATGACTTCGTTTGAGAGAATAGCAGTAGATTCTGTTAGTAATATTTCTATACTCTGTAAGCAGGGGTGAAATGCTCCCGGTTCGGACCGGCTCGGGCGAGTAGGTACGATGGCGGGCAGTTCGGAGAACCGGTAGCAAAAATCCCTGCCCCCGCCCCCCATGCCCAGCTGAGCCGTGCGATCATCAGAGGCTTTTTTTTCTTTTAAATGGCTCTGACGAGCCAAACTCTGACGATCCCAGCTGAGTTGCCTGCCGATCAGGCAACTCAGCTGGGATCGTCACAGCCATTTAAAAGAAAAAAAGTTTTTTTTCTTTTAAATGGCTCTGACATCCAAACTCTGATAATCCCAGATGAGTTGCCTGATCGGCAGGCAACTCAGCTGGGATCGTCAGAGCCTTTTGAAAGCATTTTTTACATGGTTTTACATGTAAAAAATGGTTTTAAAGGTTAAAAAAAATTGGCCACGCCCATCCAGTCACATTACCCCCCCACCAAGCCACGCCCACAGAACCAGTAGTTTAGATTTCACCACTGTCTATAAGCAGTGACATTACCCACAAAATTTTGCACCACAATTTGTGCACAATTAGCACCAAATGCTAGCAACAGGTGGCGCAGTGGTTAGAGTGCAGTACTGCAGCTACTTCAGCTGACTGCTAGTTCAGCAGATCAGCGGATCAAATCTCACCGGCTCAAGGTTGACTCAGCCTTCCATCCTTCCGAGGTGGGTAAAATGAGGACCCAGATTGTTAGGGGGCAATATGCTAGTTAGTATACTGTCTTTGGTGTAAGCCGCCCAGAGTCCTCGGAGAGTGGGCGGCATAGAAATATGATTAATAAATAAATAAACAAGTCCTAACTAGATTCAAGTCCCATGCAAAGTGGATAGAATAAGCCATAATTAGAATAACAGAGTTGGAAGGGACCTTGGAGGTCTTCTAGTCCAACCCTCTTCTCAAGCAGGAGACACTCTACCATTTGAGACAGATAGTTGTCCAATCTCTTCTTGAAAACCTGCAGTGATGGAGCACCCACAATTTCTGGAGGTAAGCTGTTCCACTGATTAATTGCTCTCCCTGTCCAAAAATTCTCCTTAATTCTAACCTGGATCTCTCTTTTGCTCTCTCTTGCTGCCACTTAGTGAATGAATTGAGTTCCTGGCACACGTAGCTCGTGTCTGTTCTTTTCTAACGGACACGTGATCGGTGATCTGCAGATTTGAAAAGCACGACACATGTACACAAGTCCAAGTTAATTCCGGTCAGAAAATTAGGTGGGCATACAGAAAGGAGTGGATTTATTGCAAGAGATGTGCCGTAGTCTCCAGAGAAGAAGACTGAATGTCATCTGAAACAATATGTATATGTATATGTATATGTATACATATATGTATGTATATATATATATATATATATATAT